GGGGACACCAGTAAGAAAGTTCCATGCCTTCGAAAGCTCGTTAGCAGAGTCATAAAACTCTGTTGTTGTTTGTCATCAACATTTTTTGCATTCTTCAGATTTGTGATATCAGCTCATTGTCACATCGCATTTTCATGTTAGTAGTTGTTAACTGCATTGACGAAGGAAGCGTTCCTCTGAAAGATCGACAACATTTCTTCTGCCATGTGATGCACTGACTGACTGGTCAACCTTACGCCGACCATATTTTGGTTCTAAATGTTCGAACCATGCCTGCTGCCTGACTCTCAGCACATCGATATGCAAGTGAGAACGGTTGAGGCCAAGGTTAGATCATTTTTTATGGTCGTAGCACTTGATCCTCAATAGCCAGTGCAAACAGCGCTGTTGTAGGCTGTTTGTACAGTCGATATTTCTGTACTCTAGTTCGTACACCCAGAGATACCGTTTCCGGTCCGTAACACAGAATTGGTTTCCAGCAACGCAATAGAGTCGGATCTTGATGAGGACTGGTATTCCTCTCTGAGCCCCAATTTTGTAAGGCTAGCATGGGTAAATGACGCCAACGAAATCACTGCCTCCAGGGTCCCATTTACAGTTCCAATTTATTAAGACGATGGAATACAGATGTTTGAACTGCGATACTTCTTCGATGGTACAGTTTCCATCATCAGATTCACGCTGCCTTCGGAATTCATCAGCATTTTCCTCTTTGTAGGGTTCAGCTGGAGACATCATGGCAGAGTCAGTCAAGTACTTCATCGAATATCTCGAATTTTACCTCCATTCCAGCAAGAGGCCGCTGACTCAGTGTCTTTCAGCGTTGTTTCGCAGGATGGGACCTATTGCTACACTGAAGAGAAAATGGGAAAGAACCTCACCTAGCTTGACTCATATTTTGACCTTGACCAATCTGAAATCTGTCCTTCGGCTTTCACAATGTTGATCGTTCCATCATATTATATCATATCCGCAATGGCAACAATCTGCTTTGGAATGCCGAAGTTGAGTATGATCCTCCATGATCCTCCACATTGTAAAGCTGTGATTGGAATCAAATGCTGTTAGAAAATCAATGGATATGACGTTCCAGGGGAACTGAAATCGGAGGCAATGATTGATGACCCTGCGTAAACATAAATAACATATAAATGTATGGTCGGCGCTCGAAAGTTTTGTTGCAAATCTTGCCTGATTTTCGCTGAGGTCCCATTCAACCCAATGCCGTAGCCATCCCAGGATAAGCACCGAGAACACTGTGCCGACGTCGATAAGAGGGTAATCTTGTGACATTTCGAGCAGCAGATGTTTTCTCGACCTATGTGGATCGGAATTTGACTGTCTTCTTCCAGTCGGCAAAGAATTTCTTCTTCGTCCACATGCGAAGGATCGATCTCTGAAACTAGAGCAACATGCCTTGGCCACCGAGTTTCATTAATTCCGATTGTATGCCATCTACGCCTCAAGAGTTGTCTGTCTTTAGATTGTTCGAGTCTCTACAAGTTTCACCCTCAGTGAAGCGCTAAAAGAACACCCTCCCCCGCTTCTGGCACTTTTCATTGTTCAGCAGCTCGTAAGGGGCATCTGAGTTCAACGTGCTTGCGAACTATTCGACTAGTCGTTTCCGGCGATTGCCTTTGTCTGGCAGCAGGAACGTGAGGATAACGTCCAGAAAACTCCTGCGCCGTCTGCTACACAGAGCACTATTGTATCTCTGCTTGTTACAGATTCTGAATAGGCCGGATTCTGAGCCTAACCATGCTGGCTTGTTTCGGTAGCAGTTTCCGTTTCGCCGCCTTGACAAAAACTCGGTGGGTTATTCCCGAAACGGCGGTTCGCAGCCGCAACCAAAGAGCACTGGCTTCGTTCCTCTGTGTCCGCGCTGTCAGGGCTTCTTCCCCTGTTGCCTTTGCCTGAGACCGGTAGTTCGCTTGGCTGCATTGCTGGCAAATTCGCAGAACTGTTTGTATTCGGGATCTATGTCATGCTGGATATCGCATCCATAGTTTCTGTTGGAACGAAGAGCCCTTACTTTAGTCGATTTCGGCTTTTCCACATCAATGGCATCAAGCTGCTGTGACGTCATTCATAACCATTCATACCCTCGTCACCTTCAACCTCAACCGCAGGTAAACGACGACGAGGTAGCGATCAAACCCCATGCAAGTGCTGCATCT